AGAGAGATTTACAGTAGACAAGAACTCAGTTTGCTATTAGTTACGGTTTTACACTGTCTGATCAAGAGAAGTTACACTAGGTAAAAACTCAGTTGTGCCTGATACAGATTGAGTTAAACTAGTTAAAAACAGTTTGATATTTGTTACAGTTTTACAGTATCTGATAAAGGAAGAGTTACACTAGATAAGAAACTGAGTTTGATATTCGTTAAGGTTTACGCTATTTATAAAGACCAAGTTACAGTATATAAGAACTGAGTTTGATATTCGTTACAGTTTTACAGAGTCTGATACACGAGAGATTTACACTAGATAATTACTCAGTTTGATATTCTTTATGGTTTTTCAGAGTCTGCTAAAGACAGAGTTACATTATGTAAGAACTCATTCTGATACCCGTTACAGTTCTATAGAGTCTCATAAACAGAGAGTCACCCAAGATAAGAATGTAGTTTGATATTCGTTACGATTTTACAGGGTGTGATAAAAAGAGATTCACCCTAGGTAAGAATTCAGTTTGATATTGGTTACAGTTTTACTGTGTCTGAAAAAGAGAAAGTTACACTATGTAAAAACTGAGCTTAATATTCGTGACAGTTTTAGAATATTTGATGAAGAGAGAGTTCCAGTAGATAAGAACTCAGTTTGATTTTCATTACGGTTTTACAGTTTCTGATAAAGAAAGATTTACACAATGTAAGAACTCAGTTTGTTATTCGTTTTAATTTTAGACTGTCTGATAAAGTTTGGTTTGTTTGTTTGTAATGAATTTCGCGCAAAGCTACACAAGGGCTATCTGCGCTAGCCGTCCCTAACTTAGCAGTGTAAGACTAGAGGGAAGGCAGCTAGTCATCACCACCCACCGCCAACTCTTGGTCTACTCTTTTTACCAACGAACAGTGGGATTCACCGTCACATTATAACGCTCATTCGGCTGAAAGGGCGAGCATGTTTGGTGTGACGGGGATTCGAACCCGCGACCCGCAGATTGCAAGTCGAGCGCCCTAACCACCTGGCCATGCCGGGCCCTTTAAAGAGAAACTAACTTGTATCGTATATATATATATATATGTGTGTATACATATATAGGCACATACACACACACACACACATTTAGATATATAATATTGTTTGAAATGCAAAGCTGAAAAAGAAAAATGTAGACTAACGTTGGACATGTATGTGAAGTTTTGAATAGCTTAAAAGCAACGATACGCTAGATATGTATCTTATGCCCCAATTGTTTTGTTTTGCATAAAACAAGTACTTTCAGAAGCAATTCCACGTAACAGATGTCATCAAATTTCAAGATGTCTTCGAAGAACAAAGAAAGAGGAAAAAAAAAAGAGGTGTGTCAGATGTTCCTTCAAACTACATATCCAAAGCAAGTATGAAAAATATGGCATCAAGATTTCCGCTCGTTTTGGTAGTGACATCCTGTATTTGTAATGTGCAAGTATATACAGGAACGGGAGAATAGCAGTTGAAAGAACAAAACCAAAAATGAGATGTTTATACTGGACATGGGCCGGGGTTGAGAAAACGATGATAATCTGTTTATGAGTTTGAAGTTGACCATAACATCAGCGGACATCCGACTAACAATATTTAGTACAATAAAAAAAACGAACATAACTGGCATTCAAAAATGTCCTCATAAGAGGGTGAGCTGACTTTTCAACAGAAACTGCTTTCAGGGATTTTCTGCCCTACATTCATAATGACCGAAGAAGGGAAAACTGATTGTGCTGCTAAAAACTGTACATAACCAGGTGAATCTTACAACAATATCGCAACCAAAAACCCAATAGTGACCCTGGAAGGGAAGGAGAACGATTGTCAGTTGCTGTTTTTTACAACTTGTTAAATATATTATGTCTAAATAATTTGTGAGTGTACCAATCTTAAACTGGATTGGAATAAAAGAAGGTCACATAGGTGCCTTTTTTCTCTTTCTCTCTCTCGTAAAAACTGATTATTCCCTTTCTCTCTCTCGTAAAAGAACTGATAATTCCCTTTCTCTCTCTCTCGTAAAAGAACTGATTACTCAACAATACGAAAAACATTGTGATTAAATCTAACACAGACTGTAAAATCAGAAACAGGAATTAGAAGATAGCGAGGTCGTTATAAGTTTCACAAGGATGTGAAACTTTCCAATATTTTGTGCTCGTAAATAGCATTCCAGGACACGCAACAGTTGTGGCTACTGAAACACAGTAAACACGCTATGAAACACCAGGCAAACACTGTGTATCATGTGAAATTACTGTGACAACACTATGGACAAACACATACTATGTTCCAAAAGATCAACACACAGTGTCTATTCACACAATGATTTATTTTACATCAGATGTCCGCATTGTGATTTTATGTCTACACATTGTGATTTCTCCCTTCACTTAATCTAGACTACGTGGCATTCAACGTATCATTATGAAGAGGACATTTTAGTGCTATGATAACTCTTACTTCTAACGTTTCAGATTAATATGTTGTACTCAGACTTGCTCAAACTAGAAATCAGAAAATAGCATAATATTCTCAAAATTTTTATAAATACAGAAGGAACGCGACGTTTCAGTGATTTCTAGTTCGTTAAATCTTAGTATATATATATATATAATTTAAGGAAAATTCCCTCGAGAAATTAAATGCGTAAAAGCTTGGTCATGGATGGTGTTTACCCAATGTTTCTATGTTTCTCGAATTTATTTACACAAAATTATAAACTAGATGTAATTGCGCAGGGTCCCCGAAAGTGTTCAGGAGTAAGTAAAACCAAAACTAAGAGTAATTAAGAGTATTTCTTGCCTTTGAAGTTCATGATTCATGGCATGCGTACGTTTTACTGACGTCACGACAGTACAAATTGCACCGTTAAGCGTCTCTTACGTGACGTCATTTTAGTGTATACTCACTGAATGACTGACAGACAACACACTTCTGTACAGTGATGCGAGTGGTTAAAACAGGTGACCCTTCCAGGTGGCTTTCGGTCCTCTTTCGGTGAAATAGAATTGCTAATTTCTTTCATTTTCGATTGGAGGAATAATATATTTATTTCTACAATCTACTAGTAATTCACGTTTTACCAATAGCCTCTTTTCTAATCGTTTTTAAGCGTGAACAATTATGCAACAAACGCCTAACGGTATCACGTGGTACTGTATGTTAGAGTATTATGTTATAATCAGATTTACTTCAACATTTTGTGTTATTTAGACTGGTGTGAGAATATTGTATGTGATCGTCTAATTGTTGAAAACTCAAGAAGTGGTCATTATAACCGCGATATACATTAGTCATAAATCGCTGTTACACAAGTAAAATCAGAATGGTAAAACATGTGTTCTCTGGTAGATAAGGTGGATGTAAATTATATCCAACAAATATAGTTGCTTTTAGTGTTAACTCAGCTGTTTTATACATTATGAAAAATATTGTTACTAATACTAATATTTTGTGTGACAGTACTTACAAATGATGAACTATTTCTCTAAGAATAGCATAATTTGCGTAACTCTTTTGAATCTTGCATACCGTCGATACTTAAATATGTTGACTCTGCATAACGAGTTAAAATACGGGTTATTTTTTCTGCATAATGAATAGGTTCTGCGTAATGGGTTGATTCTAAATAACAGATCAGTTCTTCATAATGAGTTACATGAACAGTGTTGTTTCACATTGCCTTGCCATTTCTCATTCCCCCCTCTTTTTTCCTATACGTTATATCGAATATACTGTATGCAAAATCAGGTCCCGTTATGCAGATTCTGACCTACTACGATGATTGAAGTCTATGTTATTATACTGATTCGACATGTTATGCAGATTGATCCATTATGCAAAATCAGCAAAATCAACCCGTATTTTTTATCTCGTTATGGGGGAACTGATCTGTTATACAGAATCCACTCGTATGAGAGTTCGTTATGCAGAATCGGCATCTTATGCGAAATTATCCAGTTACGTAAAATAGATTTATTATGCTTATTGCATCCGTATTTTAACTTATTATCAGAATTTATATGTGCATAATCAACTCGTTATGCAGAATCAATATATATTTTTAATATCAAAATTCGATGAAGTTACATAAATTGTGCACTATAGTGCATTTCACTCACAAAACTAAATTGTTCAATGTTTATAACCGTATTTAACGTAAATTGTATTATATAGCTGGTCTATTAAAATTTTTATCTATTTCTGTATATCGTCTAACGACATCGACATACAACTGTCTTACTTTCGATTAGACATTCGCAATCATCAATGAATATGCTTTCTGGCTCTAAGAATTAGTGCTGGATAATTTCATAAAACACAAGGCAATGGGAAAATATATGATACTTTACTACCCTCAACATATTATTCTTTCTTCTTCTGAAGTTTCTTCCAATTCAAAAACCTGATTCATCAAACATTTGCTATCCACGTCTTATGGACTACATGCAAAACTTTCAGAGTTTTATTAAGTACTCACACTCCACATGACATAATGCATAAATAGGGTGTTGATTTGGATGTCTAAAAGCCTAAGAAATCATGTTTTTAAAGAGAGCTTATATCTACGACGGAGTATTTTGCCCTTTATTGTTGAATGGGATGTTAAGGTTTTGATTTTAAATGTTAGCAGTTCTACCTATGCATAATACACACTCACAACACACACACATATATAGCACATATAAAATCATAACTTTTGCTTCAGTGTTGAGGTTGATAGTATCCCAGTAATACTTATTTGAAAGAATTGAAAGTTGGTGATATAAGGTGGTTGAAAAATATATATCTTGGATATTTGAGAGATTTTATGGAGTATCTTTCACTTAAAGTATCTATAAGCATAGCATAATTTAAACGCAACCTATGTGTATTTGACGGGGGTTGATTTTTTGCTACTTTAAACAACAAGCAGACACAAAAACAAATGGAAGTTTCAGAAAACGCCGCAAGCGCTTCTTTGACTTATCAATGATAATTTACAGATTCAGAAGTTGAAGAAGATAGGGTACGTTCCTGGTCCAAATCTTGCCTAATAGATGAATTAGAAGTGTTACGGTAGAATCTGAGAGAAGTAAAAAGATAATAGGAAGAAATCGGACGAGCTAAATAGAAAATTATAATAAGGTACGTGAATCTTTGTTTGACTAGATTATGATATCTTAGTTCTTTATCAAATAGTATAAACTATTTGTTTTATTAGTTACTTGAAAATGTATTATTGTGTAATATATCTAGGTATATGAAGCCAGTTTTTGAAATTTAATTACTGTTCCAATCCACCTGAATCATTCCATGACGATCTATCATTTTAGGGTGTTTTTTTTCAAGAAATACAAACAACATTTAAAGGGGCCATTAATGTAAATCGTGCTCAGCTGAAGCCAATAAAGCTGCTAGGAGATAAAAAATCAGTAGTTCATTTATAAGGTCAGAAGATATATCAGTTGAAAAGGTAACTATGCTTAATGCTTCTTCTTTTATATAACATATTATCCGTTTGCACATTTTGGTCAAATTGAAGCATTTTATTCATTTTAGCCTTTGCTTTTACCCTAACTAATGACAATGTCAGTCATAACGAGAAGCAAAAAACATCACTTGTACAGTAACTTTTTTTTATCTAATACCTGTACAATAACTTAGAAATTACACATTACGGTTTGTTTTCAAACCAGTACTTAACTTTAATTAGGGCCTTTCTTAATGAACATTATAATTATGTGTACACCAAGAAAGAGGTAATAATTAAATTTCATATGTTTGTTGTCATGTATGAATGGTTGTGGATTATACATTTGTTAGAATACTATTACACTGATGTATTTTATACGTACGTTTTCTGTATTATAAAGTTCACAAAAATGGACATTTCTTGTTCCAACATGTTTAAATAGTCATTAATAGACTGTATGGATATACATGGATGATTTTCAATTTAACGAAAGTACTTTTCTCCCAGAAAATCACAAAAAACATCTAATGTTGTTGGGAAAAAATTAAAAGCAGGGTTTAGTAAACCTTTACTTAATCAATAAAAGATTAAATTCATTGCTCATATGAATATATAAGTTTTACACAAATTGCACTTTTATACCTACAAAAATGTAATTTTAAGTTTACATAATGAACAGATTGGATTGATATTTGATCATGGTTATTTTTATTGTTGAAACTTTCTGAACTCTTGAAATATATTGTCATTAAGATAGAACCACGGTATTGGTTTTTTTTTTTTGTTTATATATGTATATCTTTAAGATAAAGATAGTTGCTTTTGAGCCACTTAAACAGGTATACTTGGGTTCTTTCATGCTAAGGAATATGCATTAAACATACAACTTTTTAGAAACCCTTTACTACCTAGATTCAGACATGCCACTGTTTTTCTCTGGAACTTAAACTCTGTGATAATGTTTCCATTGTATATTTATAGCACCATCCGCCACAATTTGTTGACTTAGTGAAAAATACAACAATAATTGCTAACAATTTGTCAATTTATAACAAGTTATTTAAGCATAAAATCTACCTTATTTACTGCTATTAATTATTTCAAAAGTGAGTTCTTCTCTCCTACGGTATGTTTTGGATAAGTTTCCATGTCTGACAAAAGCACAGATTCGGTTAAGAATGACACAATAATCTAAAGACGTTTGTGAAAGGCAAAATTAAACTGTAAATTGAAAATGTTTCTGTGTAGTTTTGTAATTGGTTGATTTGTTTTTGGTAATTTAGCTGTCTAAATAAATTTATTAAGTGTATATTACTCAAGTTAAATTTGTGATGGGTCATATGATGAAAACCTAAACTGAAATGGGTTTTTGACTAGTGTCTTCGAACAGTCAGTTTGATAATTAATATTGTGCTTGTATAGTTCATTATTGATAGTTTTGTCCCAGATTTGGGAAAGTGTTAACTGCATACACAGTGAATTAATTAATGTGGTTACATTGTGGATGGTTCACAGAGTGACCAAACTTCGACCAGGTCACAGTATGGCCATTCTGTGGATGTTTTATTGTGTGGCCACAATACTGATGGTTTAATGGGTGGCCACACTGTGATGGTTTACTAGATGGCCACACTGGGGGTGGTTTACTGGTTGACCACATTGTGGGTAGCTTACTCGGTTGCCACTCTATGAGTGGTATACTGAATGGCCACACTGTGGGTAGCTTACTCGGTTGCCACACTGGTGTTACTAGGTGTCATACTGTGATTTATTCACAGTATCAACAAATAGTTAAGGTTCCAGCATATTCTTTGTTTTTTCACTCTGTGGAACTAACTATGTGTTTCACAGTGTGTATGTGTTTTTATAAAAACTTAGAAGTGAAAATAAAAATGAATGTAACAATATATCAAGCACACGATATCTGCTATATCCAACGTTGACGAGGCCTTTCACTCAATAGCATGCTTGTGTGAATTGTGTGAGTGAAAAAATTCGTAAAGACGATATGCGTTTGTATTACAATTTTCATAAGTCTTTAATTTTTTTCTTTTTTAAATCAAATGTCAAAGCATTATAATATAGAATATTATTATGTAGTAGGTTAAGAATGAATACTTTCAAAACTAAAAGTATCTAAAAAGTAAAGTTAGTGTAATTTCTCATGTAAATTGCACAGAGTCCAAGTGGATCCCATCACTTGTGAACAGTTTACCGAACAGTTAATAAGACTATTAACAACGTCATAAATCTGGAGTTGCTGGTTTTGACACCTTCGGTTATGTACTGAAACAGCATATTAAAATACAAGTGTTTTTCGCACAGTTCTTTTTCCATTAACAATATGAAATATGAGGTGTTTGTTACATTAACATGTGTAACAGCGAGAGTTCTTCAACTCTCTATAAATATATACTTTCATATGTAACACCTGATAATGAGTTTCCAAACAAATATCTGATAAGCTGTTATCAAGTAGTTTGAAAAGAAAATAATTCAATTTTGTAAACACTGTTTTCTTTATTTCAAAATTTAACCTAAAATTTATATTTAATTATATTCTGCTAAACGAAAGCTAAATTTCACTTTCAGACGAAAGTAGTTTATGAACGAATGAAGCAAAATCTTAAATCGTTCCTGGAGGATATATCAAATGTTTATATATGTTTATCACTTCCCTAAGATATTTGTCCTTTTACTCAAATTCACGTATGCATATAAAGTAGTCCCCCTACCTTAAAATGAACTGTTAAGCGATGATGAAATACTGATCACACCGTATTCGTGTAAGCTTACAAAGTAGTTCCTGTGCCTCAATAAGAAGATGTTCAATAGTGATGAACACTCACCACGTCGTATTTGGCACTAGTATGCATTATGCCATTTATGTTTGTCTGTTATCAAATGGCAGTATTACATGACAGGAAATATTTACCTGTACCATATACTATATTTGTATAATATTTATCATGTAATAGTAGTCTTTGAGTAATTATTTTCTCTTCTTATCCCCATGTTTTTTTTTAATGGTTGGGTTTCCATTACCTTTGTTACTTAGGTGTTTGTAAGTGAGAAATGAAAATATAGATCAAATTAACCCCCAAAAAACAGAGAGAGAGAAAGATCATGTAACATTTGAATGTCAGTTAACAGTCAGATAGCATGTGTAACAAAGCGATGACGTAATATTCAAGTATAGAGATATTATTGTTTTTCTAATAAGTAGTCCTCATGCGATTTATAAGTACTGCATCATCATTCAGTAACAAATGGTGTTTGGTACCTATATTGACACGTGCTTGTTGCAAGCTTAACTTTATTTTTAAGGAAAAGTCTCTTGAAACAATTAACTAGTAACAATAAAACCCTTGCGGCTAAGATGAAGAAATGAAGATTTCAACTCTTGGCTGATCACTAACGAAGTATTTCCATAATAAATAAAAAAGTGTCAAAATTTTAACGGCTCTATTATTTGTAAATTCCAACATACTTTTCTTACCTTTCTTGATTTGAATAAAATTTCATAAATGTTTCCAAATAAACCATATTCCCAAGAAAATATTACCTTAAAAACCATATCCCCAAGAAAATACTACCACAGAAATCACATTCCCAAGAAAATGCTTCCACAGAAATCACATTCCCAAGAAAATGCTACCACAGAAATCACATTCCCAAGAAAATACTACCACAGAAATCACATTCCCAAGAAAATGCTACCACAGAAATCATATCCCTTAGAAAACTTTATCTCGACCCAACCTAAGTTTAAACGTTTAATCAGGAATACATATCTATACTAGGAGATTTTAATAAACCCAAGAAATGAGATGGAAATGTAATTCCGAAGAGCTAAAGAACAAAACTTTACTTGAATGGAAACTGTTATTAAGTGTTCATATTATAGTAATATACAATTGTAATAATAACTTTAGCAAGTAGAAATAAACGAAGAACGGAGAAGCTTTAATCATGTTTTTTTTTTAAAGAAACCTACGAAAATGTGAAGACCAGATGTAACCTTTCTCAGGTCTATTTTCTACAAAGAGGTTCAAATGTGTGTCAAATACAATGTTTATCAACACGAGAAATATGTGTTAGTAGCGTATTAAAAACGGAATCTAAGACTTATTGTTACATCAGAAACAATTAACAATGTTTTATCTTTTTCATTGTTTTGCTATTATGAAATAATGCAATAAAACTTATAAAGATATTTTATTTGTACCATGTTTTTTAATGAATGTTAACGGTATAAGGTGTAATTCGCCTATTTTAAAATTACAAGTGTGAAACATCACGTTATAGTTTATAAATTGCATTTATTCGTCAATCCTAAACTAGAGCTTGTAATAGTTTACACCTTGTCAATGATGGGCCAATTTTTTTCAATAAGAAAAAAAATTCTAGATCGAATACTTAGCATTTAATCATTTTATCAAGTTATTTTTCAAGCTATTAAATACAACGGGATTTCTTTTCAAGATGGATGAAGTTCAAGATCTGGGAAAGAAATTAACTCTTGAGCGTACAAAACAACTGCAGGTAATGTAGTGCAAATAAAAAAAAAGTTACCATTTGAGAAAAAAGTCAGTTACGAATTTCTAGGCCTTAAAACATAAATAAGTGTATTAGTTTCAATAAAAACCTTTGAGGTTCTTTTTTTTTAAATAAGTTGTGAGGTACAAAGTCTGCATTGTCATTAAATAGTAGTTGGAACTTCAAGTTTTACAATATGTAGTGAAAGTAAACCATAAAAAAATAGATTAAAAAATTACAGCGGAGACATTTCGATGGACATCTCTGTCTCAATTTCAATTCCTTTCTCTCTGTGAAACGTTTAATCTCTAGATAACTATATCGAACCCTTTGCTTCAGGTTGGCGTGACCTAAGCCATCTCGTTCTAACAGATTTCGAACCGCTTTCTTTAAAGCATTTGTAAGTATTC